TTACTGACCAGGAACTAATGTGGCTGCAGCTCTCAAGACCTATATACGAATAAGGTACTCAGCACACATCATAAATACTACACTTGAACACACTATCAAACCAGGAAATCAGAAAGAGTAAACTGATGTATATTCTGAAATCTGGTTATTTACTTCAGGAGATCTGGACTTCAAAGCAGACTACAAAGGAGATGTGGAAACATGATGGAACAACAAACTACTCATATTTAAGACAATCAAGGAGCAATGGGCAGAATATATGAAATTTTAACAGATAAGGGGGATACTCAGGTCATTGAGAGCATTGACAACAACATATTGAGCATTTTAATAGAGATCCTGCAGCTCTTCAAGGAAGCATCAGATGCTCTGGAGCAGTTCTCATAGCCCACTCTCCACTTGGCGCCCATTTGGTATGGAAAATCTATATATCTATAATATTTAGAAAATCTAGATAATATAGGCCATCTCAAATCCAAAGCCTTGTAATATCTCATGGAAAAGTTTGAAATCAAACCTATGCAGAGTAGGGGTATGTCTACACTACAACATTAATTCGAACTAACTTAGTTCGAATTAGTTAATTCGAACTAAGCTAATTCGAACTAACGGAGCCAGACTAAAAAACTAGTTTGAATTAGCGTTTTGCTAATTCGAACTAGCATGTCCACATTAAGTGGACCCTGAACGGGGTTAAGGATGGCCGGAAGCAGTGCCGGCAGGGCATCAGAGGAGAACTTAGAGCGTGGAGATGCTGTCTCAGGCTAGCTGAGGGCTATGCTTAAAGGGTCCCGACCCCCACCCCGGACAGACAGTTCTCAGGGGTGCCCCACTTGCAAAGCAGTCCTGGCTTTGATTGCTCGGACTACCCACACTGGGCACATCACACCACTCGGCCATCAGCCCGGCTGCACATGCCGCAGGCTGCCATCTGGGGAGAGGGGGCAATTGGGGGGGCTGCAGGAGAGCTTCCACCCCCAGAAGCCCGCAGAGCCAGCCCAGTCCTCCCCATCGGAGGCTCGTGCCCCATTCCTCCCTCACCTCCTTCCACTTACCCTTCCCTAGCCCCTCTTCTTGATGTACAAAATAAAGATAACGTGTCTTCCAAAATGGAATCTGTCTTTATTGAACAAAACTGGGGGAGACTGGGAAAAGGAGGTGGGAGAGGGGAAGAGAGAGGCTGGGAGAGGGGAGGGCAACTAAAATGATCAGGGGTTGGGAACAGGTCCCATATGAAGAGAGGCTAAAGAGACTGGGACTTTTCAGCTTAGAAAAGAGGAGACGGAGGGGGAACAGGATAGAGGTCTATAAAAGCATGAGTGGGGTGGAGAGAGTGCATACAGAAAAGTTCTTCATTAGTTCCCATAAAGAAGGACTAGAGGACACCAAAGGAAAGGAATGGGTAGCGGGCTTCAAACTAGTAACAGAAAGTTGTTCTTCACAAAGCAAAGAGTAAACCTGTGGAACTCATTGCTGCAGGAGGCTGTGAAGGCTACAACTAGAACAGAGTTTAAAGAGAAGTGAGATAAAGTCATGGAGGTTGGGTCCATGGAGTGGTATTAGCCAGGGGGTAGGAGTGATGTCCCTGTCCAAAGTTTGTGGAAGGCTGGAGAGGGATGGCACGAGACAAATGGCTTGGTCACTGTCTTCGGTCCAT